AGCCCTTCAGAACCCTCAAAAAGATACACACACGGGCTGTTTGTTTCAAAGTCTCTCTTTTGAGACTTTAATCAAACAGTTCATCGGCACTTCTCGCCTTCATCACAACAAGTAAGCCACGATTGTGAAGAATCGTTTTAATTACTCAGCTGTTCCTTAGCTGATGGCTTCAAACTTCATCACAAGACAGTTTCTTTAACGTTCTTTAGACTTCACATGGATTATTATGTATTATCTGTACGCTCTTGTCATTTTGTGGATAAGGCCTTTTGTTTATTATCTGTCAGCAGACTTGAAATGATTGGCCTTTTCGAAGTTTCTATATTATTTCGGGTTCCTGCTTTTCATTCTGTTTAGGATGTATGGAATATTGTATGGTTATGAGTTGCCGAAAATTAGTTTTTACATTTGTGTTTTATATAATGGGAATGTATTGTTAATCTTGAAATGGAAGAGAACTCTGGTGGAGGCCCATCAGTTTTACTGACGTGCAAATCGTTTGTCTAACACGGGTATAGGGGCGAAAGACTAATCGAACCATTTGTTGATAATATATTATGTCCTACATCATTTGTAAGGTAAAAGTGAAAAGATGATACCTTGGACCGTGAATTGCATTTTCATGGTACGTAACGTTTAGTGAAGCAAGAGTTTTACCTTGAAGAGTTCAAGTGTGCACATCTTGTTATTCAGTGCTAAATATTTATTGTTTTAGGTCTGCCATGAATATGGGTTAGTGGGACTCTGGGGTTCCTTTTTATATATACTTTCTGATTGCCCTATTTCTTGATACAAGGAATAATCATGGCGGGCAAGTCGAATAAGGGGAGGAATCGTAAAGTGTCCCAGAAAGGTGCCGTGAATTCTTCTGAGCAGGCCATCTCTACTGATGCACCCTTGAATGATAGTTTGAAAACTGCTCAGGCCAATGAAAATGGAAGCTCAGAAGCGTCAAGTGACACAAAGGCTGAAGTGCAAGACAAGGAAAACTCGTCTGACCAGCACCCAAGCAAACAAGGTCCCAGTTTGGTCCATTTGCATCCAGGAGTCTTGCGTTAAGCTATTTCGTTATATATATACTTTTTCTGGTTTCTTTCTGTAGATATATTAGTTATACTTTATTTTTTTCTCAGTGATTGAAGCTTTGGTATTAGAGATTGAAAGTAATTAATAATTTTTGTTCAGCTATGATAACTTGCACAAGCGTGATTGAACTTTATGTTAAATTTGCTAATGGAGTTTCTGAATTCCCATTGCAGTTTTACGTGATAGTCCAATTTATTTGCCTAATAAATGCATATCCTGGTATCTTTAGTGACTACAGTAACTGTTGTATTTGGCTTGTTGTTCCTCCAGGATTTCTGACAAGCTTAGCCAGAAACATGTTTTGGTGGTTATTGTGTATACGTTTGAGTTTTTAAGTTTGCTTCTTTACTAAAGTAACATCATGATCTTTTGAAAATCTGGTAACTGTCCAGAAAATGAATTTTTTTACATTTCTTCCTTCTTTCTATTCGTTTGTAAGCTTATCTGTACTGGAGATAACAATTATTTTTGTTAGTAGACTTGAAATAGGCATGTTCCTGAACTATATATGTTAACAGATATTGGTAATTTCTGTTTCTTTCCATATGATGTTAGTATATCAATTATTTCATTAAGTTCTCATTTTTACCTGTAAGTTGGTGAGACACGTCTATGCAATCTGTCTCTTATGCATTTACAGTCATCTTGTTGCAAATGTATCCAAATTAAATCGAATCTTGCGACAGTCCGTACTAAACAAACAATTAATTCCACTTGACGCTGGGTGCATATTCCTTTTTCCTATCAAAAGGTTTTTTCGAATTTGGCTGCTTTAACGTTAAATTTAGTTCTGCAAAAAATGCATGCAGACATGCATTGATCATAGTAGCATACTCATGCATTGAAATGCTTCCTCGTTCCTCATTAAGTTACAAATAATGACTCAACACTTTCTGCTTGAGGCAGGTGATGCTCATCTTTATCCGGTTTCTGTGAAGACACTAGGGGGAGAGAAGCTTGATCTCCAAGTAAGCTAAGACTATTAATTTTGACAACTTCAAGAATCTGAACAGTGCTTTCTTCCAGCCTCAGTAAATGTTAATCCTTTCTTTGTAGCTGAGCTAGGTCTCCATGATTATTGTCTTTGATTAGTTAATGTGCAAAATGTGGAGGGTGTTTGGCTTAGCTTATTGTAATTTCTTCAAAACGTCTTATTAGATGTGAGAAAGCTTATAAGCCTAAAAAAACTGTTTGGTATTTTTTGTTTGTTTTGTAGAAGAGCTTATAAAATTAAAAAATAAGCTCTTTAAGAGTTTATAAGCTCCTAAAAAAGGTTACCCCACCCTAGCCTTTTTTTAATCATCTTGTAAGTTTCTCTGCTTTTGCCAAACATCGTACAAAGCCAATGTTTTTTCATAACCACTCACTTCAACAACTTATTTTTCAATTTAACAACTTATCAGCTCTAGGAACATCTTAAAATATATCAAAGCTTTTACGATCTTTTGAATAAGCTCAACCAAACACCCTCTTAATATAGTTTTTGTGCAGCTTAGTATACTTTGAAATGCCTTTTACTAGAACTAAAAGAATTAGCACTTGCAGTTGAGTCCTGGAGATTCTGTAATGGATGTACGGCAGTTTCTTCTTGATGCACCGGAGACATGTTTTTTTACGTGCTATGATCTGTTACTTCATTCAAAGGACGGTTCTATTCATCATCTAGAAGACTACAATGATATATCTGAAGTTGCTGATATCACCAGTGGTTGTTGCTCGTTGGAGATGGTTGCTGGTAAAGATTAATCATTTTATTACTTGAATTTATATTTTGCTTCTAACTGGAATGTCTGCCATAAAACTAAACTTATTTGACATTTTAAACATTGATAACTAGTAAATATCTTATGGGGGAATGATGCATAAAGGCATGTCAATTGTCAAGTATCTCTAATTTATGTTATTGCTTTAGTTATGCTGCAAAAGCAGCCTGTATTGGAACAGAAAAAATTATTGGACTACATGTGTTTCTATGTGGCATATTAGTTATTGTTGCATGACTTACATTAGGTGTTTCATGCAGCATTATATGATGATCGATCAATTAGGGTTCATGTTCACCGAACAAGAGAGTTGCTATCTTCTTCAACAATGCATTCATCGTTGTCCACCATGCTCGCATTACAACATGAAACGGGGAAAAATGCATCTGCAAATTCAGAAGGTTTGTTGTTTTACGTATCAGCTTGCTTGGTGTGGGCTCTTCTAAGTTTCCATTCTTATTCACATTTCTCTTTATCAGCTGCTTTGGTATGGAGTGACCTTTTCTTTCTTTCTTTCTTTTTGCTGTGCAGATGCTGTGAAAGTTGAAGTGCCAGAACTTGATAAAATGGGATTTATGGGGAATGGCTCAGTTTCTAATTTACTGCCATCATCTTCCAAAGAGATTAAGTGTGTTGAAAGCATAGTTTTTTCTTCATTCAATCCTCCTCCAAGCCACAGAAGGTTGTACTAAACTGAAAATAATCTTCATATGTATTATTGCACAGAGTTTTCAGTTATGTCATTTCAGTTGCTTTCCCATTCTTTTTTTGTTGTCTTCATTTTATTTTTTCATATTGTTGGAAGAGGTTACCTGCTAACATACTGAATATTATATTTGATTGTTTCAGGCTTTTTGGAGACTTAATTTATTTGGATTTGGTGACGTTGGAGGGAAATAAGTATTGCATTACAGGAACGACTAAAGATTTCTACATTAACTCAAGCACAGGCAACATTCTTGATCCAAGGCCAATTAAAAATTCTTTAGAAGCAACATCCCTTGTTGGACTTCTGCAAAAGATTAGCCCCAAGTTCAAGAAAGGTAACACGAATTTGTCTTTGGCCTTTTATTTTGGGCGACTTTTCTTGACCAGGTTTAATATTTTGAATTGAAGTATTAAATAATTTGTTACTGTATTTTCTTACATTTTCCTAGCTTTTCGTGAAATATTGCTGCTCAAGGCCCATGCACATCCCTTAGAAAACGTCCAATCGGTGTTGCCTCCAAATTCATGGCTGGGCTTGTATCCTGTTCCTGGTATGGACACATTATTGTTCAGCAGTTTGGTAATTGCAGCCTTGTAGATGAGATACTTTATTTATCTGATGATGAGCAAAATAAACCCGATCAAATTGATTGCTACAATTAATTAGATCACTCGGTTAGGTCTTTGCTTCAATGTTTCTTCACCATATATTTATTTAGCATCTGGTGTTTTTCTCTTTGTACCTATAGCTACTTATCTCTTTATCATACATCCTATGAGTTCTATGATGAATAAATATTTAAAGCAATTGTTAGAAACTTATCATCTTCTTCTCTTTAAACAAAAGCAAGTATCAGCAATCTAAACTTTTTGCCAATGATTTTGGGAACAGTAACCTATAGTGAAATGCTTGCTTTAGGTTTATCTTCGTTGTCCATAGTTTCCTGAGAAAGACGTGTTTTTGCCGGAGGACATCCATTCTGTAGGATTCTATCGGGATCTCATATTCTCAGGCCAAAATAATTCAGTATAACAGACAAAAGTCGAGTACTAGCCTTCCTTTTCATTGACAGTGTAGCTTGAATCATGTCTAGTCTTGTTGATTGGCTTGTATCATAAATGGCAATTCAATACTAATAAAAGAAAGGTCTCCAATTCTGTCAAGTAATTTGGAAAAAATATTTTGATGCATCCTTTTTTTTTTTTTTTTCTTAATGTAATCATCTTCAGTTGAAGCTGTAGACTTCTTGAACCAAACATTTTAAATATTTTCTCCCCATCTTCTTTTCTTGATTCTTTTAATTGTCCTGAATTTTTGGTATTCCGTAACTTTGTTTAACACCCTAGTAGGTGTCGGTCAAATCCACCTGTTTTGGTGTTTATGGTTCCTATGTTTTGCCATGATTCTGATAACTGTTTTAATGGTTGGTGTGTCAGATCATAAACGTGATGCAGCAAGAGCAGAAAATTCATTGACTCTTTCCTTTGGAAGTGAACTTATTGGCATGCAGAGAGATTGGAACGAGGAGTTACAGTCGTGTCGTGAGTTCCCTCAGACCACACATCAGGAAAGGTACTCTTTCCGGACTCTGGAGTCATTGTGCAATATTTGCGGCAATATCATGGCTGTAGATACCGTCATGTAATATTGCTTACCATTATTTTGTTGCAGGATCATTAAAGATAGGGCACTATACAAGGTCACTTCTGATTTTGTTGAAGCTGCAACTAGTGGTGCTATTGGAGTGATAAGCAGATGTATTCCTCCTATTAATCCAACTGATCCCGAGTGTTTTCATATGTGAGTGTACTTTATACGAGCTTTTATTGGCAGTCATAATTGTTTTTCTTTCAATATTTTGATTGGTCTATTTGCTTTCACTTCCTCTGAGTTCCTTTTGTGGTGTGGATCTATGTTCTGTTGAAAATAGTTCAAGAGAACAGTGACATAACTAGCAGCTTTCTTACTGAGACAGTATTTTTAAGATGAAACTTTTTATGCCGCATTATTCTTGTGTAATTTGGTCTTTACCAATGCAGAACTTGAATATCCAATTACTTACTCATATGGTGAGTGTTTTTTTTTTTT